AGAGTACTTTCAACCGGAATATGTCGATTGCAGTGTTTTTCAAGGAATTCTTGAAGAGGGCCTTTCTCCAATTTTTTAAAGGTATATTGGACTGGATCATCATTTTACATAAATTGAAATTAAACTGAAACTGCTCATCTTTTGTGGAAGTAGATGCAACAGATTCATGTATGGTCTGCTGTTTAATTTTAGAAACTTCAAACATTTTCTTCCTTTCTACATGAAGAGTCGTTCTGACATGTTGAGTCACGTTATATTTTTTATCACTTTGATTCTAAAACAACGTACATATACAGGATTAACAAAGGAAAATAGATAAAAAAAAATTAGTGGGCTTACGGTTTTCACACAAGCTCTGCAGAATATTTTGTTGTTTTCTAATTTTAATTCTGGAAAATCCCTCATCCACTCATCCGGCGTCGATTTTACTTTCGGCATTCTTTTAAAAAATATTTTAAATAAGTTACTAATAAGTAATATTACCAAAAAGAACTCAACATGTAACAAGGGAGAACCACGTATAACACTGTACTACGATAGATGCGATAGACTGATGGTTGTGAAATAAACGGTTCATTTACTTAAAAGTTTCCATTAGAAAAATTTTAAGGTAGGTAGTTGGGTACAATAATCCTTTTTCTAGAAAATCTTCAACGGTCTTGCCGCAAAATGCCGAAAAAGAACATCTGGTTAAAAGCTTTAATTCATTATCAACGGAAGTAAGGATTTAAAGTCATAAAATCTATGGAGTATTTTTCCAATCCAATAATAAAATTTTATTATCCAAACGACCGGAACCTATTCACAGAAAGGGTCTTGAGTAAGTGTACTTCAATGGTCAAGTCCAGGTAAAATGCATACGATACGATATGGCTAACTAACAAGTAATTGTCATTCCGACAAGGCCGGCATTTGAACAAAATATGCATTAAAACTCATATTCGTTGAAAAAAGCATTAAATAAGCATATAAGTTTTAATATGCATAAAATTGAAAAAAAGCAAATAAGCATAAAAAGAAATGTGTCAAATGATTCCAAATTGCATCATAGTTACAGATATAAAAAAGTTTTGAAGTGCTTACATTTTTCACAAAAAGCATTAAACCTAGAAATCCGCTCTCTACTGATGATGTCATCAACATTTTTTCAAGGACACATATATCAATTTGGATAGGTGCAGTGCAATACTAATAATACAAATACTGTATTTCCAAAATTTCGAGAAAATGGAGTCCTTCTTAATATGATCAATAAAATAAATTGCCTCATTTAGTTAGGAATGTTGTACTAACCAAAATTTATCTAATCATCTCCACCAATAATAATTAAATGACGTAAACTCTTTTTTTTTTCGTAACAACCCATATTTACACTTTACAATATAACATAATCCTATATTTGTAGTTTATGAGTTTGCCTTGACTTTTATCACAATTATTTTACAAAAATTTGTGTGGGCATGGCTGATATCTGGGTACGCGCAAAACGACTGCCGATGTCTTATAGGCATTTTATTTTTATCACAATGAATTTGTTTGAATATTTGTTTTCAGGTGCGAGGGAAGTCTTGTCTAAATGACTTTACACCAATTTTTTTCGAAGTAATAGTGTAAGCAGTGTTCCATTACTTGAAATGTATTACATAAAAAATGTATGCATATTTTCAAATACTTGAAATTATTTTTAATTTCGTAGCTAGCGATCAAAAGATTACCGACCAAAGCGGCGGAGCAACTTTATAAGAACACAAATTAATGAATTTATATCTGAACTTTAACAGAAATTAAGTAGCAAAAGCTGCAAACGGGTATCCCTTTTTTATGGAGCAGCACTGGATAATGTGTTAATAAAATTGGGCGAAAAATCTCATTTGAAAAAGCAGTCACTGTTTTCAAATTAAGTAAAAGTCTTGTCATAAACAACTCTATATTTTTGTGGAGTAGGGAAAATATTTGTTAACATCCAAAAACGTTTAAACAGGTAATACAATGTTAGGTAATCTGATTCGTCAGTGATAATGTTACATAATTACGAATTAGGTTCATTCAGAACAGTTCTGTCCACGACAAGGCCGGGCTCAGGGGATTTCATCAATGAATCTAAAACCTTCGTAACAACCTCTCATCGTACTGACATCCACCCACACAAGCACGTTATTAATTCCCCAACACGAACAATTTCAATAAACGATCTCAACAGCTACGCTGCTATTTTCTTGTTTTCTTGGAGTAAACTAACTAAACTTATATCTTAGAAGATGGCATGTAACTGCTGAAGGGCCTTACTGTTTATTGACTTTTTCATTGTCTGAAGGAAACTTCCAGTTTAACAGAAATCAATCAAAAACAACTGTTTTCAACTACATTTTGCACTTTTTGTAATCTTAAATCTTAAATCTACAATAGAATTCTTTTAATTTTGGCAAGTTGTTGTAAAACTGTGCCATTTGCGACATCCGATATGTCTCTGTTTCTGTCTTTGTTCAATACACTGTATTTACCCAGGTAAAAAATATTCGCACTCCTTAGTATTTTAGGAACGGAAACGTATATATGGACTAAGGTTTGGTAATTCCAAATATATTTGTCGTTCAAAAAAAAATATCGTCACAGCATGCACTTGCTAAATTTGTTTTTCCTACGACTTTATATACTGTCGTTTTGTACAATAATACAATAAAAGAAATTGTTTTATTTGTATAACACGTGTTTCAATGGATTTTAAGTCACATTGCTGAAGAAGATTTTTAAATTATTAAGAGTGGATGATCTTAGATGTGCTTCCATGTATGCCAAAGAATAATAATTTTGGTAGAGTTCATTTGTACTCCGCGTATAAAAGTATATACACACTCATAAAAAAAGAAAATAACAACAACGTATACAGTCATAAACACTGCTTTTCCACGCTATTATATCACGGTTCTTTATTTCGCATGATAATTAAAATTTTCATAAAAGGGACTTCGTCTCGCGTCCTAACTTCACATTTAACATTAAAAATCTTGTTTCATTTCGTTCTATTACTTCCTACATTCTGTAAATTATTTTACTGCGCCGACAAAAACAAAAAAAAATAAAAAATATATAAATATATTATGAGATAATTGTTTTGTCCTTCATAATATAACATTTCAAAGTCCTATTTTCCACAACCAACAATTCACAGAATTATCCTGCAAAAAATTAATGAAAGCGCCTAATCTGGTATAAAACGATGTGCATATTTTGCAGTATTTGTTTACGGCAAACAAAAATTGAAAGCTACAATGACTAATTTGTTTGAGTTACTTTGTTTTGTGCGTACTTTTTTTTAAATGTCCAGTGGAAACGGGTTATTTATGTATAAAGGGGAGCACAAACAGGTGTTTTTGGCCTGTGCTGTGATTACTATAACATGCTCAGGGACAAAAACGCGGTCTGTTTAATTCACGAAGCACACAATTTTAAGGTTGTAAGATACAACGAGCAGTGGTTGCGAAAACGATTTAATAAAATTAAAATTAAAATTTAATTGTCACGTTGTTGAGCATATCCGTGAACAATAATCGCCATTAATCATGTTTAGGAAAACTGTTGAAAAAATAAATAAAATGAGTGTTCGCGAACATCTTACAAACTACCGGATTTTGAGGAAGCCGGAAACTGACAATTTGGTGGCTCCTACGTCGAAAGCAGTATAATATAAGAAACAAATTACCTGAAATTCATGAAATAGTGTAAAGTGAAACAGCGAAAAATAGTATATTAAGTAACAAGGGATAAAACATCGTTTTGTTCCCGAGAGAATGGTTTAACCCCGAGGCTTGTCGTGGGCTTTAAAATTCTTGAGAGAACAAAAAACAGTTTAATCCCGTGTTACCTAATTCTATTATTTTCCCCAATGCCGACTCGAAGTCGGAATTACTTTGCTCGTTATTATTTCACCTATAAAAACTAAGCGGGCTCACGGTGTTATGGTGTGTTTATTACCTTAAAAAAACTTGTTAGTTCAAAACCGATTTTATTAAAAACGTGAAGTTTTGAAAAATATGAACAATCAAAGGGAAAAAGATACACATGAGCAAAACATCTGCAGATGTTTTTAATCCGGAGGAACATTCTATCAAAGGCAAATCTTCTGGTGGCAAAAGGAGGTGAAACCATTGTTCAGAAGATTGATTAGCTTCAAATTTGTGCGTTGAGACCAGTATGTTGTATTACTACCTAGTTAGATAATGAAGAGTGTTCGCATGAGAAAGCGTAAGCACAATACTTATGATTTAACAAATAAAAAATATAATTTTATTACGTTATTTAGGTACGTACAGGTCCTAGCCTCTGAAGAAATAATAATTAGCATCGATAATATCGTCACTCAAAATAGTGATAGTTTCAGACGTTAATTGTTGCGTCTAAATATAGCGTCAATTTCTAATACAATTAGATCAACTGGTCGTTCTTCTCTTTAAATGTTATTTCTTCGTTAAGAATTATCATCTTTTTTAAGGAATCTCAGAAAATCTCTCCATAACAATCAATTTTTAGACCAATTCTGATTTTATTATTAGTTCAGTAATGAAAAAACGCAAACAAGTATTTTGAATTTGTTATAGGTTGTAGTTACGAAACGTTAATATGTAATGATGAATAGCAACTGAACTTCGTTTTTGCCCGCCATGTAATAATATTTAATGACAAATAAAGTTTTCAAGTGTGGAAACGAGTACTTTGCACTACTACGTAGGCACATAACAGTGTGTGTTCAGATGAGGAGACGTAAGCATTATACTTATCAATTGGAGTAAAAAATCATTTTGTAGATAAGCACCTACGTTTCAATCAAATTACTATTTCGTTAAAGCTAATTTTTTCAGTCTTTAAATTTCCCAATGTTCCAAAAAGTATCCAGTAAATTATGAGCAAAGTTGAGCAGCTCCTAATTTTTGCTCCGTTTGAATTGGCGCTAGTTATGGCTTAGAAACTTATAAATAACTTCGTTAAAAGAATTCCAAACTTACGGGTTTTAAAACTTTGACGATAAAGTACGTTTTTAATCCTGCTATCCGCAGCGCCTCTTCTCTTTTTTCTCCATATGCAGGTTCTACTTCGAATTCGCCACTCAGAAACGAATAGGTTGTAGCTGAAATGTGAACTCGTCTGGAAATAAAGAAAACACCGCGTTAGAAGATGAATACGTTACAGCGAAATATGTTAGCAAAGCGTGTTTATCTGGAAATTCGAATTGAGATTTTCCGTGTAAATATATATGTATTTAGAGAGAAAACTAAGCGGATATTAGGAGTTTCAGAATTTGAGCATAGTTGAGGGTAGTCAGATAACTTCTCTTTACTGTAATTAAATGTAGATACGTAATTATTTAGGTATTTAATTTCTGGATTGTTTGAACAATGAACAATACATGGCGTGATAAAGACACTTCTATTTTGTGTTCTATGTAAGATTTTTTCTAACTAGAGTAATTTTTAAGCACTAAAGGGCTTTCGATCACTCTGAAAAATAATGTTATTCTGGATGTCAGAAATGACAAATGATGACGATAAATAATATTAGTTCACCGTATTTAGCAGTAGTAAAAAGACGGTCATAATTACGAAACGAAGTCTTAAATCAAACACATACATTGTAACATGTCGCTGCGGTCGATTCAGAGTCAGCAGCTTTCGGTTTTGTAGTTTTGACTTATTGTGTAAAATCCACTTGCATTATTGGCTCACATCCTTGTACATGATACCAGCTCTGCCACCGGCGCAATTGTTGCACAATTTTAGCGCCAACAAAATTGATGTCTCAACGTGAACGTGATTTTTTTTCCAGCTTAAGGTGTTTGTCTTGATGGCCGGATATTTTTTCTTATTTACTGACGCCTTAAGTTTCGTGTGGTGTTATTGGTTGTTACAAAGAAAGACAGTGCTCCACAACTAAGACTGAACAAATAAGTTATCAAAAAGTTATTTCTTACTAACAGATTAATTTTTATTACACATTTTCGATAATAAATCAGTATTTTCCTTACGGTAGCTCTGAAAACTAATCTCCGAAAATGCCTTTCAGATATCCCGCGTTCGTGTGGTTTCCGTCGTTGTTATGCAAATAATAATAATATTCTATTACAATCAATCAAGGATGTTCTACGATACAGAGCACAGGCATAAGTTCCAGAAACTTCTAGATTATTTTAATTTTAAATTTATATAAATCACAAAAATATGCACATTTACAACATACATTTACATTTTCAAACTGAAAAAAGATGTATATTAACAAAGATATAACCACTTTTAGTTTCAACTAAAAGGAAAACCGACTTTTTGCTGGTAATCATTCGTTCATTCATTTATTCATTCATCGTTAAAGGTCAGTGCAAGTTAGTTTTAGAAACGAATGGTGGTCCTGAGAAGGACCAATTTTTTGTAATGCGTTCACGACATTGCTGTGACAATAATAATTTGCAGTCAATTACACGACGTGGAAAATCACCGGGCTCCAAAGCTTGCACTTTTTGAACGTGGTATGGATGTAGGCCTTAATCTTTAAATGTACGATACACTACAAACGGTGACACTCCAACTTCAGCTACAAGTCGGCGAGTGCTGATGTCGGCCTCTTCTTCGACTTGTTCCAAAATTTGTTGTTCAGCTTGTACTATTCTTTCGGTCCTATCACGGCCACGATCGTAAGTTTGAGGCGTCTCGGAGATGCTGTACCAGTTATGTAAATGTTCGTTCACACAGAATCGCGCGATTTGAAAAGCGCTCGATCCAGAATTCGCCGATTAACCTGGCGTTTCTATCAGCCACACCATAAAGATTTACCTACTATTTAATTTCAAATAATTTTTTGTAGACATTGCTACCACCTTAGAACGTGAACTTTACACAGTGCAACCACTTTGTAAATTTATGAGCTATTCCTCTTTTTTTTTTATTGCACACACTTCGAAAGCAACCTGTATAACGCATATTCTAAAAACGAAACGGATGACCCAGTTCACAAAGTTGGTGTCTGTTAAATTCCCGTGTGATTATTTGACTTCGTCACGGGCTCTCAACTTTGCGCTCGAGGATTAGTCTAGTTTAGACCTTCGGTGTATATATCCCCATGTCAATTTTTTCACCGTTACTATAACTGGGTTTGTCCGCAAACGTTTTTAAAGGACACGTGAACTGAATCTTAAAATCCTAATTTATAATAATCCAGCTATATTACATACCTATTTTGTAAAGCAATAAATACTCAACAGAGCTTACATATTTTTTGTCAGTATTCCTTATTACAGCATATTACGTATGCGCCAGTTCCCTTGCTGTATAATGTGTAATGCTTAATTCTTCAATTTTGTTCAGTATTATTAGATTAAAACTTAGCTGATGAGTCATTGTATTTCTCCAGATGGTGGAGCGTGCAATTGAATATGAATTAATTGCCGACAAAACTTCTGGTTTTCATCATTCTCAATGAGATTTTTAAATAACATTGAGAGTTTCGGGAAAATTAATATAAAAATATGTATTTTATGCATAGAGTTTTAATTTAAACGCAGATATTTTCGCATCAATCAGTGAGTTACACTGAAGATTAAAACAACAAATATAAATTTTCAATTGCGATGTCTAACCATATACAGCTTTTTTTTTATTACATTTTATAAAATTAATTTGCTATCAATGCTTTTCGTCCTACTTATTTTCTTTATTACAATTTGTGTTAAATAATTGGAACGCCTCGACCCGGTGACGTGTAGGAAAAAGGAACATTTAAACAAACTAATAGTCTGATTAAGCTCAAAATGTTATAGAGCTGCCAAACTACAATCTAGTTTGCTTATGGATGACATGATTGGGCCCCAAATGTTCTTCTCCGATAGATAGATCCGCAAGATGACGCTTCCAACAGCTCTTATTCAGTTGACCGAAACGAACGTTGAGGTCTGAATTCAACTTCTTGCAGCCATAACTCGCAATAGACGATCTTGTCGTTCGCTGGATCTTCACGTTCGTTCACCACCACCGGGGCGATGTTACAGAGTCTCTTGGGACTAGCTCTGCCAACAGCTCATTATGATCGCTTGGCTGGGATTCATGCGGCGTGCCATTTCTCGAACCGAAAAACCTCCTGTCGCACCAATAACGCTTCCTCAAGCAAAATCAAACAAATGGCCCGTTTTCTAAAGCCAAGTGATTATTTCAATGATCAGTCAAAGAGTGGATTCATATGCACAAATATTTGTCAAAATATACATATACATATGCACAAAATTTCTTCGAAATATGCACAATTTTTGCTATATACTTATGCAGTTTTATGCACGAATGCAATTTGCCTCCTGCGGCCCGGAAACTACAAACAGAAAATTCTTCTAATCAAAAATTGACGATTTGACTAAAGCATTTATTTGTCATATCAAAATACGGGATATGATAATTACGTAATCAGTTCTCTAAAGTGATCACATAAAAATGAGATCTGACATTTAGAACGCAACACGATATAAAGTTTTTATAGTACAGGTGATCGTAAACCAGGCGCACCTTTAAAAATTTCATCAATTACGGCTTTAAAAAAGTTTTGTGGAAAAGCAGACCAGTGCTTGCATTATGCATGAAAAAATATTCTTGTGACCGTATTAGAATTTTAAAGTAAACATGTTTTATACACTGTCGCTTCTGTTTTAAATTGATGTTCTTTCTGAGCATTTTTGTGTTAGTACTTAGTACGCAAAAGAATTTTAGCAGAGTTAGCCAAGGCAGTGAAGAATTAAAGTTTCATGCAATGGGCTCCAGTCTCCAGGATAATTGAATCTAAAGTGCTCTATTTCTTCGCCAGGTCTTTTAAAATTAACTATGTATTGGTTACAACTTTTGATTTATTTAGCTGCACCACAGCTCATTTTGTGTATTTTATTGCTCTATTACATTTGTATTAATAAAAATGATTCTTACTGTAGCTCAATTCGTTCAGGGTTCAGTGAAACACACAAAATCATTTCATTTTAGAAAAAATATGAAAAGCACGAACGAATTGTTTCTTTCATATAAATTCTTTGTTGTCAATAAACTAACTTGAAAACAAAATATGTAGTAACAAAACTGGAAAAGTTATTCTAAAGTAAAGTTTCATGTTTCTGTGCTTTCCTTTGGTTTCATAATATCCCAGACAGCGAGAACTGGTAATTTATATTTAAAGTAGAAGCATTTTTTGTGTGTTATTGTTTCGACATAAAACTTGCTATTGTTTTCAGAAACTAAATTTTCAAACTTACAAGTTATTAGAAGTACCTATGATCTGTTAGCAATGGATAAAATACCTAATTTATTTTGAGGAAATTTGCATGTAAACACTACTTAGATTTAAAGTTATTTAAAGTAGATGTGTTTGGGTAAATTAGTAATAGTAATAGTACTTTAACAATAATTAAACTAAAATTTACTAGTTTATAACCACACTTTCATTCGTGGTAAAACATCTTCCATGCTGAGAGAAAACTTTGACTAACTTTTTTTAGAAAAAATAGAGATAACTATTTGAATCATAGCTGACTCTTGATTTGTGAAGTACATCTGCAAGAATAATATTAATAAATAACTCTGTCTCTCTGTCAAGGTGATATACCCAGGAACTATTTTTGATTTCAACAGTAAAGTAAATTCCGTCATGCACCTGTATAAATAAATCTACACATAAAATATGCATATATTTTTATGCCACGAATAAAGGAGAATCTACCAATCTGGTCCCAAACAATTGATCGCAAATAACTCGTCAACAGTTTAAACTTTTATACCCTACTTTGATTCATGTTACATGTTTGGAGCACAGATTAAGTAAATAGAGTAAATAGAGTTCAGTAGTTAGAGCTGAGGCAACAATTTCCAAGTGTAAATTCCTTAATAACCAATGTTGAGAAAATAATTGTAAAGTTACCTTTGAGGGTGCAAATATATAAAAAAAATCGCTAAATACCCCAATGCTACTTGAACTTGTTATTACCCGATCAGCCATTTGGTTAAACGGTGCAATTTTTTATGCGGTATTTCTCAAACAAACAAAAAACTTGATTTTAGAATTTTCAGATAAGAATTTCAGTGCCATCGCAATATGTCATCAAATTTTCAAAAAACATTCTTTGCTGAACGAAT